CTAGTTCCGGAACTTCGTTATTAAACATCTTCAAAAAACAAATTGTTTTTTATTATTGGATTTACTGTTCGGAAAAGAAACAATCAATATATTGAAAAAATCCAGGACTTATCTATTGAATATATATTTATGCATATATATATATATATATATATATATATATATAAATATATACACATATACATACATATACATATGCACACGTACATAAATATATACATATACAAATATACATATACATAAATATATACATACATATATACATATACATAAACACGTATATATGTAAAGCAAACAAAATATTTAAGAAAATGGAGAATACATACAAAATAGCAATACTCCTTACAACATTTAGAAACGAAAGTTTTCAACTTCTGTAATAAAACGTATCTGTAATAAAAATGAAAATCTAAATTATAGGAGTTGAAAACTTTTGTTTCTAAATGTTGTAAGGAGAGTTTCGTGAGTGCTGGAGATATGGCTCTTCCATAGCTCCAGCACTCGCGGAACTCTCCTTACAACATTTAGAAACGAAAGTTTTCAACTCCTATAATTTAGATCTTCATTTTTATTACAGATACGTTGATGACATTCTCACTTGCGTCCCTACCGAAAATTTCGATCTTTTACTTCACAGCTTTAACTCTTTTAACGAACACATTTCCTTCGCCTCCGAAAAGGAACAAGACAATTCTATTAGCTTCCTGGACGTGAAAATTATAAAAACTACATATAACCGCATTATTACCAATTGGTACCAAAAACCTACTTGGTCGGGCAGGTATTTAAACTTTCATTCTTACCACCCATCTAGTATGAAGATAGGCATTATTATCAATTTAGTAGAACCACGCCATCCTTCTCTCAGACAAGCAATTTTGGCCCTCCAATTTATTCTTAATTCGCACGACCGGAATCAACAATTCATATCCTCCTCATCTCATAAACTCCGTAACTACCAATAGACTTAAATTTCTCAACAATAAAAACTCTTCTTCCTCTCCTATTAAAAGCTCCAAAGACAATAATTTTATCGGAAACGTTTGTCTACCATACATAAAAGAACTTTTACCAGTGTGGAAAAAACTTTTTCATAAGGTAGACATCAGATTAACTTGCAACATAGATCTTACTGTTAAATCCCTCTACACAAACCTAAAATCACCCACTAGTATAGAACGTACGTACAATATTGTCTACAAAATAAATTGCAATGATTGCCCCTCTACGTACATAGGTAAAACCGGACAAAATTTGATAAAAAGACTCAAACAACACGACAATAATTCGAAAAACCCCAACCAAAACCAAACTATGATAACAGACCACATCAAAACTTTCAAAAACTCTTTCAACTTTTATAATGCCCATATTCTCTACCACGAACGGAACACCATTCAACGACGTTTTGCAAAATCTTGTTTCATAGCATTAAGTAAACTGGCTATAAACAAAAGATGTGAGACCTCCTTACTCTGCGAAAACTACCAAGTAATACTAAATAATGTGTCCAAATTTATCTCATCTGAATATAACTAATTCTGCCCATACAAACGTTGCCAACACTACTAGTTCAACCTCGGCCATGATACACGATCTTTACCTACCCACGCATAGTTAATTTTGAATGACCATTTAAAAATCTTTATTTTAGATATTTGAAGTATTAATACAACTACCAGGGGCGTAACTACCGCCGTATCAGCCGTATCAAAAATACGTGCCCCCGAGCCAACGGGGCCCCCAACGAGCGCAAGCAGAAAGCAAAACTACAATTTTTCAAAAAAATTAATAATTTTAACGTAGTTTGCATTTCCTTTTTTATCGAGAGGTATTAAACTTCAACTTGTAAGCTAACGCTTTAATTTTTTTTATTTGGAATTTTTATATTTATATTTATATCGTTTTTGTTTGTTGCTGTTACTACTTGAATTGTCTGCATGACGCGTCAGTTTAATAGTTAAATTTTGATAAATATGATTAACTAAATCATTTTCAGATTTCTTTCTTCACTATTTAAAAATATAAGTTTCTGTTCTGAAACTTTACAACATCCCAGTAATGACTTACAAAAAACTAGTATTTTATTAAGTAATCTTTTGAATAGACTGTGCGAATTAACATATGATAATTTGTATATATATATGTAAATTGAAATAGTTTGTTGAAGAAGTACAAATAATTTGCAAAAAAGATGGATTGCAAGAACTATTTTAAAGAACAAAATACAGAAGATAATGAAGCGTTATTATCACAAGATGAGAGAATTTTAGACCCGAAATCTTATTTTAATGTATACTATTGCTGTTTGGATATATTAATTTCACAAACCAAACAAAGATTCCAAAACTTTTGCGACGTAAGTAGTAACATTTGTCTTTTTGAAATCGAGAATTAATAAACGTTTCCAGAAAACTGACGACTGAATTACTGTAAAGAAACATTGTAAAATATCTCATATGATCATAACCAATTGATTATTCTAAAAATAGGTTTGAAT